GGTCTTCTCGTTGAGGACAGACTAATGTCAGGAGAAGAGGAATATGATAAAGCAGAGTTCACAGAACAGCAGGGGGCTATGCCAGCCGAAAGCGAAGAAGACCGGAGACCAGCTACCACTGAAACCCAACAGCATTGGACGCCAAGAAAGACTAACAAAATATGGTCATTGGTTGATCTCGCGGTACCGCAGTGTGAGAGCGACGATTCGACAAGGACATAGCTACCAATTGCCGAAGCAGCAATGCAACACCAATAAATTATTAACTTTACTTTCCATCCAAATGATATAAACATGTACATACTTGCTGATTTTATGAAAATTAATCTTAACCCACAAATTTTCTCGCTGCATTTAAGAGGATCAGTTTTGCCGAGTAGTTAATTACAGGGTCTTGGTAACGAGTTTGCTCCAAGAATGGGGAGCGTGAATTCAGGCTATCTCTTGCATTTACTGACAGAATGTTCTGTAGCGGGCATATAACACAGTACTGACAAGACCGTATGACGCACGACAGTTTGGCCGACAACCGATAGCACCTGGTGATCTCTATCGCGTGCTTTACAGCAGGCCACAAGCGTGAACTAGATTACAGCGAGAGTAGGCTTGCACTGCATCTACCGCGCTCGCTCTTCTCTTGGCCAGTTGAACTTGCGAACCAGTGCCTGAAACACTACATACACCGTCCAGGAATGCCCTACCAGTCCATACCGTCCGAAGACGTTCACCACCACAAGGTGACATAGAGACAATGGAACTGTGCGTGAATTAAATGCCAGCGAGAGTAAACTTGCTCTGCATCTACCGCTCACTCTCCCACCCCCGGGACCGTGGTCACGTAAACAAGACCGGAGGCCGCAGGTGGATGGCGCGACCGTAGTCGCCCCTAGACGTATCACCATACTTGGCCTCAATCCTATGGAGTGGGGGTGCCATGAAGGCCACATTAAGAAGGAGCCATTGCAGCCGACTGTCGTACCGGACACGGTCCATCATGAACCCCACAGCAAAACGAGCCATGTTCGGTGGCTTGCACGTTGATTCGATTATAGTGAGAGAAGGCTTGCACTGAATCTACCGCATCCTCTCTTTACCCCATGTACCCAATGTAAGATGAGAGTCAGGACAATCGTAGGTGGGATCAGCTACAGATAGCTGGCACAGCTAAGTCCGCACCTAAACGTACCACCAAGCAACCTGGTCCACAACTAACACTTACCCAAAACTTAAGAATACCCAAAACAGCAGGATAGGAGAGCAGGACGGATCCCAGTTCCCACAGCATGAACCTCCATGCCAATGCATCCCATCATACGTAGCCATCACGAACATGTGAGCGGAAAACAAAATACCTACTAACTAAGCTTTCAGTAGCGCTTACACCGTATGTAGATATTTACCGTTAGGGACACAGGAGCGGCTGCCCTTAGCAAAGTCTGAGAAGTCTATCGAATGTCCGCAGAGACGAAGATTGAAGAGCCAACCCAGAAAGTTGATCATGCGTTGGACCTCGCCACGGTTGTCATCCTAGACCTCCATTCACAATCTAGAAGCGTCTCCACCGCAATTGTCTACCTTAAGCCTTCTTGAGTGTACAAGGGGTCAAAATGTTACACCGCAAAGCCAGGACCGTCGAGTTTAAGGGAACCTACCGCGTGTCCTAGATAATTTTGGCACAGGAACAATAAATCGTGCATGCTGGCAGCAGACTTCTCTTGCATTGACCTGAAACACCCACAAAATTCCTCATGACTTCTGGAGGCCGAAAATCCTTGAAAGGGTCCAAGGACGCACAACCAAGTTAGTACGAGGCTAAGACTACCTACCTCACAGGACACGATTGTCCAATCTTGACATGTTTCTTTTGGACTACAGACAATTATTCGGTGACCTAATACAAGCGTTTCGCATGTTGCCGGGTCAGGATGTTTACTTTGCATCCAGCAAATTCTTTGAGTTGGCCACTACCGTTAGATTGCAACGACATCCTGCAACTAAAGCTTTTATTCTCATCCAGACCCCAGTTCACTAAATAACGACGTTACGGATACATTCTGCGCGAGGAAAGCTCTTAAGCATCGCATTATACCATTGAAAAATAGTCAAAAACGCCCGAGATGCACTCTACCAATCACCCAGACTTTCAGTACGGTAGTCATCGGTTATTAAGCCCACCTCGGGCCCAGACCAAATTGGGCTTAAT